CTCCTAGGTTTCCGTAGCTTCTTCCTTCTCCATCCCTGTCGCCAATTTCTCTTCTGATAACGAGTGCTTTCTCCTGATATTCTCGGGCCCTTTCATATTGACCAAGCGAATGGAACAATGTTGTTAGGCTTGTGTAACATCGTCCTTCGTCTGGCATGTTGCCAATTATTTTCATGATCTTGGCTGCTGACTCATAAAATTTACTGGCTTCCATGAATTTGTTCTGAATTCGAAGTGTTTTTGCCAGTTTCAAATTTAGCCATCCTTTTAAGAAGGTTTTATCCGAGTTTTGGTTTAGGAGGAGTTCCTTGAGGTATTCTTCTTTACTTACGTAATCCTTTATATGATTATAAGCATGGAATATTGCCTTGTAGATGGTATAGAACATAGCATTCGCTGATAAACTATCCATAATTAACGTTTGATTGTTTAAAACAACCAGACATTCCTTAAGTAACTCGATGGCTTGCGACGCACGACCTGTGTTAAGACGGAAGCGGGCGACCACTAAACCTATGCGGATGACTTTTGTGATAGCTTCCTCTGTGCTGTTCATCTTGATCTTCTTTTTATCAATTTGAAAAAAAAAAATAAGAAAAAAAGGAAAAATTAGGGAAAACGTATACATCTCAAAAATCCAAACTTGGATTGTCCATCAACGAGGAACTCATTTTTCCGTCTGTTGTAACAGAACAGAACAAGTTTTGTTTGACCCGGTGATTCATAATTAGTTCACAGTTATTAAAGTCAATTATGTAAGAAGGAGCAAAGCTCTCCACTACACCTGCCTACTAAGCTCTCAGGATAGGGAGCTCCTGTTGCATTCTATTGCTCACTGCTAATTCTAAACCGTCCACCCCATATCTTAAATAATGATCACTTTTCTTTGCGACAAATTCACGTCTTTTTAAATTTTAATCTAAACGTTTAAAAATGGAAAAGTAGGTTTTCTTTGAACTTCTTCCTAAAAAAATATCTCTTTAATTCAGGTTTTGACTTGTGTTGCAAGAATGTTAGATGTTTAACTGACTCTGTTTGAGGGCCCTGTAATCCATGGAGTGTTCGTTAAAATTTCTTTACATATCTCATTCATTGTAAGAGTAATCAATGTGAAATTTATTACTCCTCGATTATAAAACCTGTGTTCCTTTATAGCAGTTCGATATGGACCTCTTGTAGTAAGGGAAATCTTCAGAAACTTTTTCGTTTTCAGAAACGTGCGGCTAAAATTATTTTAAATGCCGAAAAACGGCCCCTTCTGTTCATTTATTCATTACTTTAAACTGGAATCCTTTCTATGCCGGGTCATATGTAAATCGTTGTACCTTAACCTACAAAAGACTTAATGGTAATACTCCAGAATATATAAATGCCTTACTAATCAAAAACTCTGACATCCATAATAAAAAAAAACAGACTCTGTAATATAATTTAAGTTGTCCTCGCTACAAGAGATGTTCGGAAGGTGTCCGGACGTTCACCGTAAGAGCAATCCAAGAATGGAACAAGCTAAATGTAGATCTTAAACGTAGTCCTAGCGCAAAACATTTTAAAGGATCACTCTATAAATCAATTTTTAAAAATCAATTTAGTACTCCGTCTTTTATTAATATCTAGTTGTTTTATATCCTTTAAATTATGTTTGCTAGATTGTAGGTAAGTTTTTGATTAATTTTCTCTTGTATTTACTTCGAGGGCCATTAGGTTATCAGTTTAGTTACTGACAAATGTCACCCTCTCCAATAAAGTCTACTTACTTACTTACTTACCAATTCATTGTTTCTCTTCAATTTTGTTATGGTTATAAACGATACTATGTTGGTTGGATTTGTAAGACAGTCCGGTAGGTATTCATGCAACTTACATTTTGAAGTTAGTAACCTTCCTTGTTTATTTTAATGAAGGCAAAGGAAGCTGTAAAAGATCTTGCGGCGAAGTTCAACCTTTTGCTGGAAAAACAAATCAAAAATTTTTCGAAAAGACTGAGTAAAAAAATAATCAACATTATTTTACCTTTTTTTTTTGTCACGCCATCAAACTGAAAGTAAACAGACTGAATTATTATTGACATAATTCGTAAGAACCTAGTAAAGTCTCTTTCGGAGTTAATTATTTTTCACTCAAAATATATTCGCCCAAATTTTAGATAAAAATTGATGGAGAACTAGGGACTACGTACGGACTAAGCCCAAGAGTTTGAATTGTGCGTTGCGTTAACAACGCAAATATGATTGGCTATCGGCCTGAATTCTGTCAAGAATCAGTCATACGTGTCTACGCTTGTCAACACATCAGATGGCTGATGACCAGCGGGAATGTTTATTGCAGTTTCGGACAATTCGTTCGCTGAAATCAGAGCAGCCTGAGGCACCAGAAGCTCTTGTTGCTAGCAAAGAAGTTCTCGCAATTTTGGCAACCGACTTCGGAAAGTCTTGTATATCAGGTGTTTTGTTTCGCAGAAATCTCTACAGCGTGTGTCCATGTAATTTCACCGCTTCACAACATCATGGTGGAAAAAGCCGGCAAACTCAACGAACTTGGCCCTCTAGCGGTTCAGATTTTCTT